CCGGCCTGACTTTAGAGTAAACAAAATTACAGTTGATGATAGAGTTAAGAGGTGAATGGATTTAAGTGCATGTTGGCAGATATGCATTTGGATCTTTGATTTTTTTAATTCTGTAATATTTAATTATATTCTTTTAACTTTGTTTCATTATATTTTTTTATTTTTATTTACTTGTCACAATTAGTTGTCCATTTAAAATTGTCGTTCAACCTTTGACCCATTTTTACATTGTAGTATCTGTTCATATACTTTCTCAATCTACTGAAACACAAAGAACCAATAACGCCTCCACTGAGGCTTGAACTCATAATCTTCCAAATGGAAGGCCAACCCAGGTACCACTAGACCACATAGTCCTGGTCAGGCAACCCATTTGATTTTCTTGATGATTATCTTGTCCCATGGTTTTGATCTCGGAATGGAAGGAAAGAGATTAGGGAATACCAGTGATATGATAGTACTGTTCAATAGGTTTTGATTATGAAAAGCTAAGAAGAAAAAGAAGAAGAAGATGATGATGTGGGAATACCTGTTTTACATTCATTTTCCACGCATACTGGTTTCATTATTATAGCAATACTAAAGTATCATTTTAATTTTACTATAATTTCATTTGACAATATACATTATTATATGAGTTTTATTTTTTTAGTTTCATTTTTCACACCCTAGTTTAATTATACTCCCTTCGTCTTATTTTACCAGTCTTACTTTCCTTTTTAGTTTGTCCCAAAATAGTGTTTTCTTTTTAAATTTGAACATAACTATCATTCTATATTTTTCAATTTACGCTTTTGAATTTTTCAAATTTCTAGACAATAATGAGGTAAGTACATGCAGTTGTACTTTGTACAAATGACACCTAATTTAGAGGACAAAATTGAAAAGTTAGTAAATTTTTTTTGTTGCATTAAAAATCGTGCAAAAAACAAATGTGACAACAATTAGGAACGGAGGGAGTAGTAACATCAAAGTATAATTTTAATTACACTTCATGCTCATTTGACAATATATATTATTGTACGGGTTTTATTTTTTAGTTTCATTTTCCACGCACACTAGTTTCATTATGGTCACACTAAAATATCATTTTTATTCTATTACAGTTTAATTTAACATTATACGTTATTGCATTAGCTCTGTTTTTTAATTTCATTTTAACAACACTAAAATATCATTTTAACTCTTTTATAATTTTATTTGATAATCGTATTGAACCATGATCCACATAGCGCTGTGTGGACCATAGTTAACTGTATAACAACTGTTGCCTACCAATGGCGGGCTTAGAATTTAACATGAATAAAAAGATTTTTGCCCGTGTAATTTTGCACAATTATTCCCAGTACCTAATATTTCAATTGTTATGCCGTGGAACTGTGTCCACCTTGGGACACGGTTCTATGTTCATAATTAGTGAACTCTATGTTCATAATTATAAAAATTTATGTTCATAATTTTTGAACTTCATATTCACAATTATTAAACTCTATTTTCATAATTATAGAACTCTATGTTCATAATTATAGAACTCTATATTCACAATTATAACAATTTTGGAACCGTGTCCACTTTACAAGGTGGACACGGTTACTCAACATAATTTGCCCAATCATTATTGTGTAGACCATATTTTGTCTATTGTAAAATAATGTACATTCAATACAAAAATAATGTACATTGTATTCAGGAGATGTACATTATTTTTGTTCTGAGTGTACATTATATTGTATAATGTACATTCAGTACAGAAATAATGTACATTTGGTATAATAAAAATGTACTTTTTGTTATGGTACACATAACATTGTGTGAACCATTACCTAATTTGCCCTATTATTTAATAAAGATAAAATAGTGTGGACTGTGGACTTTGAGTTGCGTTTTAGTATTATTATTGATTATTGATGCTATTTAGTTGAGAAAATTGGGCTACTGAGATCCAGCCCAATCACTAGACATTTAAGTACAATATACTTGAAAGTAGTTGTGGCCCAGCCGATGCATTAATGCAAATTATACTGTGGACCGCGATCCATAATGCATTGTGGTCCAGGTATTAAAACGGTGTCGTTTCTTTTAATGAAAAGAAACGGCACCTATTCCGCGCCGTTCGCAAAAAGTAACTTTGATTGTATAATATATTCGGTTTCATTTTGTATACACTGCAGTTTCATTTCAATACAACTCCAATTTCATTTTGATATAACTACAATTTCACTCGATATTATACACTCAAATATGTGAAACTATTATTCATTTTCATTTTATATATACACCATAGTTTCATTAAAACGCAACTACATTATAATTTCGATATAATTACAGTTTCATTGCACAATATACACTCAAATATGTGAAATGTTATTCAGTTTCATTTTATATACACTGCAGTTTCATTTCAACACAAGTACAGTATCATTTTGATATAACTACAATTTCGTTGGGCAATATACTCTCAAATATGTGAAATTGTCATTCAGTTTCATTTTGTATACACCGCAGTTTCATTTCAACACAACTACAGTTTCATTTCAATTCAATTGCAGTTTCATTTGATAATATAAAAATAATACGTGAGGGAATGTCAGTTTAGATACACTATAGTTTTATTTGGTAATTAACACAAAAAACACACACTCTGTTAAGCTGTAACGGCTACCGTTTTTTTACTTAAAGAAACGTCGCCGATTTTGGACCATGGTACAAAAAACTATTGCACCCAAAAAAAAAAAAAAAAAAAAAAAAAAAAAAAAAAAAAAACAATGATGAAAATATGCAAATGAAAATGGTTGTTGGTATATAAAGTGATTAAGTGATGAGACCAAACAACTCGTGTAAAGTCTTCTCCTAACCCTAAAGGCACCCCACATTCCGGCTCAATATAACATTTGGAAGGATTTAAATTACATTGACTCAATAGCTCAGCAGACAGGACCAAATACAGATGCGCACAAGGAATATGCCCACTTTAGACATAAACCCAACTGCTGCTGTCGAGATTCAAACTTGAGTCTCTTCTCCCTAATACTACCTACTGAATCAATGAGTTAAGCCCATTCGGGAAACTCGCGCAAAGTCTACAATAAGGAGACATCCAACTTCGAGTAGAAGTTTGAACAACTCATGTAATTCAATCTCCAAATTCTCAACAAGCAAGCCATTTAATTAGTGTAATAGTTAGTTTCATGATGAATATTGATGGTCTCAGTAACCCAACAGGGTAGCTCAAGTGGCAAATGAGCCCTCTTTGTGGCCGAGAATTTCGGGATAACTCGGGTTCAATTTCCACAAGTGACGATTATCTCTGGGCCAGCTTCTGTGCCTCTCGGAATAGACCCGGACCACATTGTGGTTTACATAAAAAAAATTGATGGTCTCAGTTTGAAAGAATTAGTCCAACGAAAAAAGAGGAGGGGGCGAATAAACTCTATTGAATTTTTTATGTTTTGTTTGAAATTTGTAATAATAAAAAAAAAAACTAAATGTTTAATGACTATCAGAGTTATTTCTCAACAATACTACTTATGAATGTGATATCGAAATCTTCACTAAATAGTTAAGAAAAGCTTATCACAAGTTAATGCACAACGAAAAAACAATGTTTAAAGCACGCTAGCACGTTTTCGTGAGTACAAAGATGTTGATGTTGAGCCATTAGTGTGCAATCCAACTATCAGCTTAGGTTTTTAGTTGAGATAGGCCACATGCTTCAATTTGATACCAAAACCATGCCAAAGGTCATGTGAGGACAATCCAACTATCATAGGCTTTTAGTTGAGATTGAGATGGAACACATGCTTCAATTGTTAAGGCCAATGCAAAACTATTCAAGAAAATAAAATGAGTAAAATAAAGAGAAAATAAAATGAGTAAAGTAAAGAGTCAGACATTAAATTTTATATATATAAGCGCAGTACACAGTGGTGTTAAAACTGACGTTGTAACACAAACGATTTATAACGCAGTTCGGGCAAACAACCCTAATCTGTGAGGCACTTCTCAAATTGAGAATTTGCCTAAATCCACTAAAAGCTTAATATTTAAAGTACACTGTTTGGAATCGGAGATTACACAATAGAATGATCTTTCCTATCGGACTATTGTGACCTAAACACATGTACTACTTTTCAAGGGAATTTGAGTATCTCTTCTCAATGACTCTCGTACCTCACAATTAGATCTTGAAAACTTGTCTGATGTGTTGTGGAACCGCTCCTTTTATAGGGCTAAGAGTCATAAGATGGATAAGAGTAGAATTGCTATACCTATTTAAACTAGGAATATAGATCCTAATTCATGCTTGATTTAGTAATCCCTTTTTGCTTCGAATTTTGACAAATCATTTCAAGTCAACATTCTCCCCCTTTGTCAAATTTTTAGCAAAAATCTTGATTCACCTTGGTTCTTCTCAAGGCTTGACAGTGGTTGTAATTGTCTCCCCCTTAATAGGTTCTCTGTTCCTTAATTTGTAGAGCTTGCTTGATTGTTGCTTTGTTAGCTCAAGGTATTGGTTGCTCTTGTTTTCAAGGATATACAAGAGCCGGTCTGGAAATTATACTAGTGTATTTTCATAGACCCAAGGTCATCAGTATGCATATGCACTAAACAAAAAAATGCCAGAGAAAAGCATATTCGCAGAATGCTGGGTCAGGACAGTAAACATAGATAGCAGTTTACACTAGTACAGAAACAGTCATTCGCGTCCAAAGTTAAGGCTAATTCGCGTCCAAAGTAGCAGGGATGCAGATGTCGGGGACGCTAATTGTATAAACAATCCGCGTCCAAAGTAGCTTTGGACGCGCAAAATGATTATTCGCGTCCAAAGCTACAGAACTTTGGACGCGAGATAGTAATTTAAAAAAAAAAATTATTTTTTTATAAAATTACCAATATTTTCCTGTACATTCCAGCGTAACTACCAAATAATATATTTCAACATTAATTAATCAATTCAAGATGTATACTACACACCAATTCTATCAACTAAAACACACCATTTAAGAAGTACAAATTTTTCCATTGAATCTAATTCTTGATCTAAAGAACAAACGAATATTAAATCATGGGTACGGTGTTTGGTTCAAACATAGGAATTAAAATTGCAATTAGATTCAAAAATTAAGGAACTAGAATGAGTCAAGTAAAAGTAGTCTATCTTTTTGATAATAAACTACTTAGAACCTGAATAGCAACTCTTCTCTCTGTTCATTCTTCCAAGAGACAACTTGTCCATCATACAAAAGAACCTGAAGCAAAGAAGTCATAAAATTTGGTGATACAAACAAACTTGTTAGATTTTTATGACTATTTTTGTACTAATGAGAGTATATGCACTCCAACTCTGATCTAAACAAATCCAAAACAATTGATACTTATTATAAATAAACATAAAAAAATATATATATAATAGGGAGTAGTTATTAAGCAAATCAATCTTGAGGGTATACGAATTACCCAAAAGGACTCAATTGGTGAAGGTAATACCTACTGTATGTAAAACAATAAAGAACTCCTTTAAGACTAGACAATAACATAAACATCCCCTAGTGGCCTAAAACTGAACACTGTTTCTTCTTTTATCTACCATATGAATTATGAAGTGGCCAATATCACTTTCTTTATGATCATGCATCTCTAAAGCTATATACACATTTATGGCAAAAGCAGGGATATCTGACTAAAAGTAATCACATGGAAACAACTATCAAATCTATATTCCCTCTAATTAAAATGCCAGCCATCATTAAAAGAAATGGTGAGTATAGGGTGTTACCACAAGGAAAAAGCCAATAACCAAATTCCAAGCAGCAATGAGAATTGAACTGATCTATGTCAAATGCTCATCGAAACAAACCGAAATATACTTTCCACTCATCAGTTTGCAATGGATAATCTCAATGTATGATCCTCCTTGTGCCTCAAAAAACCACGACACCGAGGGATCATTATTTACAGTATTTGAATTATTTATATATAAAACCAGAAAATATGCAGCAATGAATCAAAATAAAAGCTGAGTAAATACCTTAGAATTTGTTCGAATTTATCTAGTACTTGAGGCAGCCTTAATGTCAAAATTATAGAAAGGGCTAAACTAATTGTCTTCTTCTGATGAGAAGTCACATTGTCAGCTTGTCACAGTTTCAAAAAGTAACAAGAAATAAAATATTTTAGAGCTTTGGGTATAGGCAGTAGTCTCAAATGCAAATGAAATACCTTACGAGAAGAAAGATTCACAGCCTTTGCAACTGCACCAGAAGACAGTTGTTTAGAAGGAAGTGTATACACATCTTCATACATATCTAGAATATCAGCCAACCCAACCTACAGTAATTCAACAAGACACATTAGAGAGAACCATTATGGTTCATCAGCTAATATAAAACACAAAAAGCAGGATTATTAAAACATAATATGTGGTATTAGTCCTAGATAAGTAGTTAAAGTGAAAAAACTGTAGAATGAGATATAGAGAACTACTTAATACCTTGACCCGGAGAACTCAACAAACTATTAATCAGAATAATATCATATCCAACAAGCCTGTTGATAAGAAGTTGCTGCCACCTGAATTAAGTCCATTTTAAAAGGTTATGTGTCATATTGTATAAAATTGCTAATTCTCCACTATACATCTTTAGAATCAAGAGTCTCATATCTTTTTGTCCAATCAAATTATTGTCAAGGTCTTTAAGGAGGGAGAATTGTAAGAAGAACAATAAGATCTATTGACCAATGGTAATTTTCTAACCAAAGGGTGCGATACATCAAGGTGAAATCTACTGGTGCTGCCAATTCAAACTGCAATGAATCATGGTAGCCTACTAATTAGTAAAGTTATCTGGATCCCAGAAATAACTTGAGAGTGTCTAAAATGCTCAGGAAGCAAACCTCTGATTTATTAACACCCTCAATCTTGAGGCCTCCACTGCAGGAGAGTTAAGTGCATCATGAAATGTTGGGTTTGATTCATTAGCATTCTTCAGTTTATTAGTCATATTAATCTCTCAGACTCAGGTTCTCTGTATGTCATTAAATTCTCATTCTCCCTGCAAGTATCGCATATTAGAAGTCTTTTGATTTATACTGTTATGCATTCAATAAATTAGATAATATGTCAGTTTAATATATGAATGAGTTACTAATAAATCAGTTTGTAATTTACCAGAAAATCAGTTTGCATTCAATAAATCAGATATCGTTATATCGTCACACAACATTAAAGATATGATAGATGAGTTAGTTTCTTAAATTATAACTTAACGGTTCAAATTAAAGCTAAAACTAAAACGGGTTCAAGGAGTCTAAGAGTAAAATCCTAGACCACTACACCTACTGCAGAATGGAAATAAGTTTATTTTCACTAAAGAACTACATATTAAACATAGACAGACATTCAAACTGTTAGAAACTATCAATCAAAAACAATGGAGAAAATTGTTTAATTGATCCATTCAAACTATGTTTAATGGATCAATATTGAGTAAAATTCAATATTACCTTAAACAATGGAGAAAACAGTGCAGCTGAGATCACCTGTACAGCTGAATTTAAAATTTTAAATTTAAATTATACACTACCTTGCACCTCATTAAATTCCTTGGCTAAAATTAGTAATTTAGCTAACACATTTTTTTACAATTCTCATTAACATTCATTCAACACAGATTTTCTTTAGCTCAAACTTTCAAAAACTGATGCCAGTATAGTATAATCCACACCTGAAGGACTTTTTGTTTTAAATAATCATTAATTTGGAATAATCTAATTATAGATCACTACAAATTCAAGAACATATATCTAATTGGTCTACAGGCTATAGTAACAAGCCGCAGCAATGATTTTTTGAAGGCCAATTTCCGAATAGCAATGCGAAATTTGAGAATTCCATAAAGCATTCAAGCAAGAAACACAAATGCCGTTGAGGATCAGTATTTTGAAATGCATATTGCCATCCAAATTCCAAAGACAGATAATGATTAAAAAAACAATGCACAAACAAAAAACACACGCGACGGAGAATTCTTACCTTTTTGGCGAGCGTACAGCGGCGGCGTCGGCTTCCGTACTGCGGTGGCGAGCTGAGACGTCGCGACGGCGACCTTGGGCGGCAGCGGCGGGGACGTCGATCGGCGATGGACGACGGGATGGCGATGGACGGGAAGATGGAGAGCGTGGACGGCGGGGACGATGGAGAGCGTGGACGGCATTGGACGGCGGGGACGATGGTGACTGATGGACGGCGTCGGATGGCGGTGCAAATGGATGAAGATCAGAGCTGATGGAGTGACGGAGATCTGATCTCAATCTGCTCTAGCTAGGGTTTTAGGATAAAAAAAATAAATCGCGTCCAAGGTCCACTTTGGACGCGATTTATTATTATTCGCGTCCAAAGTACTGAGCTTTGGACGCGAATAATAGAAGACTTTTAGTATTGGCGTCCAAAGTAAAGAGCTTTGGACACCAATACTGTTTTAAAATTTTAAAAAAGAAAAAAAATTATTTATATAGTGTCATTTTAATTATAAAAATGTTACCGCATTACACTTTTGGCGTCCAAAGTTCTAACTTTGGACGAGAATTAGTCGATTTTATTAATTTTTTATACTAGTGTTAACAAATAAACCCAAGGTTATTAGTATGCACATGCACTGAGCAAAAATGCACAGAATACTAGTTTAGGACAGTGATCACAATAGCAATTTATCAAAAATATTCTGTTTGTTGTCTGTCTGTTCTCCCCCTCTTTTGCTAAAAACTGCAGTGGCCCGTCTGTCCTCTGATCATGATCTGCCTTCTAATTCTGTTGAGGGTGTTGAAACAGTGGTTTCAACATTCTTATCTTGATTTTCCTCCTGAATTTCTTCTCCAATTTCTTCTTCATTTTCTTGGTTTCCCTCTTGATTCTCTTCATCATTTTCGTCTTCATCTTCTGTTTTTAGGATTGTTAGCCATTCAAGTATTTCTGCTTTTTCTTCTTTGATGTCCATGTGTTTCCTTAGGATTTGTTTCTCTGATGCTTCTAATTCTGTCAGTTTTCTCTCAAAGTAGTTTATTAGTGTTTTGGGATCAAGTGGATTGTTCTTTGGTGCTGTGGTCTTTAGGTCATTCTGATGACTTCCCTTTTTCAGCTTTATTGTGGTGTTGGTGCTCTTGACAGTGATTTTTGGCCCATGGGATTTGAGGCCTTGCTTAGTCAAGACAGCAAATATCAGGTTTGGAAAAATTAGAGAAGTTTTGGATGTAGTGTCTTCTGCCAGGTTTGTAATTTGTGAATGGATGATAGTACCAATGTTGATCTTAACTCCTTTCCCTATCTTGTACAGTAGTTCTACCAAGGTCCACTTTACAGTGGATTCATGTAGAGAGGGCATCCAGTTTGCAAGGGCTATCTTTTGGAGAATGGCATATTTACTTGTTAAGGAAGCGACTTTGATCTTGTTCTTTTCAAAACTGACATTTCCAGCTGTGATTTCCTGAGCAACTTGTTCACTGGTTACTTCCACATTTTGTTCAATCTCAGATGACCCTAGGTAACTGTTGATGATGTCTGGTCAAAAATCATAGAACTTGCCTCTCAAATACACCTTCCCGTACATGGGACTGCTAGGTGTAGTGGTGTTTTTGGTAAGATTGCAATAGAATTCCTGGATGACCTGTTCATCATAGGGTTCAATGTGAGTGACAGTTCCTAAGAGCTGGTTTTGTGTCAATGCTTCTTGAATTTGTTCAAGGTTGTCCATTCTGTCTAGAACAAGTTGTTTTTGACCAATGATTTTTTTTTCTCCACAATTTTTTCCCATAAGGTTGCTGACTCCTTTCTCAGAAATTTCGAGCTGTGTGGTTTTGGCAGTTTTGACAAGTCAGCACTTTTGCCTAATTTTTGTTTTCCTTTGTCTTTTGCAGTCAGTTTCTTTTTCCCTTTTTCTTGATGGCTGGCACATGGTATAGCACTGTTGCTTTCACCTATTTCATTAGGGATCCAATCTTGTTCTTCTTCTACCCTTCTTGTTTTGGGTTTCTTTGGCTTGGGAGGGGGTATATTAGGGCACTTACGAGGAGGCCTTGTTGAGATTGGGAAATCATTGGGTCTCTTAGCCCTAGGATCTGCCCCTTCGTAGGGGTCAGTCCTCCTTCTCTTTCTCTGTTCCTTGTCAGACAGAGGGGGTGGTGAGACAGATTCAACAGCCCCTGTTATAGGGTTTTCTTCGGATATGGGCTCAAGTAGAGTTTCCGGGTTTTGGATAACATTATCCTCTAATTCCACCGCTGTGGTTAGCCAATTTGTTAAGCCTTCATTTACTTCAACTGTAAGGTTTATAGTTGCTGGGGTGGAGTTTTGATGCTCTTGAACTTCTTCGAACGGGACTTGAGAGATGGGAACTGGGTCCATGATGATGTCAGTGAGGTTTTCTTCTTCGATGCGTACTGGATTAGAGGGTACTCCGGTGCCGGCGTACTGAGGCGAGGTTCCTTTCCGAGGTATCTTCCCTTTTCTCTGGTTTCTTGTTCTCACCATTGTTGACCGTGGTGGAGGATGAAGAGGATTGTGCGGGTGAATGGCCTAGGGTAGACGAAGACCAGAATTTTGGGGCTTTTAGTAGATGGACCGGGTTGGATTTTCTCAAGATGGGCTGACCTCCTTTTTTTTTTTTTTTTTTTTTTAAACAATTTTGGGCTTCTGATTCGTTATGGCCTTTATAGATTGCATAGACCAATTTCGTACTTTAATTTTGCATATCTGTTCCCGTCAAGTGTTTTTGACAAAATATCTGCTAGTTGGTTCTCTGTATTAATGTGTGTGAGATTGATGATTTCATCTTCTACTAGTTCTCTTATAAAATGATGCCTGATGTCGATGTGTTTTGTTCTTGAGTGTTGTACTGGATTTTTTGAAATATCTATTGCGCTTTTGTTATCGCAATGAATTGTCATAGTTGATTGATGTATTCCGTAGTCTTCTAGCATTTGTTTCATCAAAAGTAGTTGTGTGCAACAACTTCCTGCTGCAATGTATTCTGCCTCAGCTGTTGATAAGGATATAGAACTTTGTTTTTTTGCTTATCCAGGATACTAGATTTGTTTCGAGGAAAAAACATCCTCCTGAGGTGCTTTTCCTGTCATCTATGTTTCCTGCCCAATCAACATCACAATAAGCTGACAGGTGAGGGTTGGTATCGAAGGAATACCATATTCCTAAGTCGGTAGTTCCTTTGACATATTTAATGATTCTCTTTACTGCTCTTAGGTGTTTCTCAGTGGGATTGGCTTGATATCTAACACATATTCCTACTACAGAGCTTAGGTCTGGCCTACTTGCAGTTAAGTACAGTAAGCCTCCTATCATGCTTCCGTATAAGGTTTGCTCATCCTTTTTACCCTCTAAATCTTTTGAAATCCTTTCTGTTGTTGGAATAGGTGTTCTGACAACTTTGCTTTCTTCTAGTCCGAATCTCTTGACCAGGTTCTTTGCATATTTGCTTTGTGATATAAAAATCCCATTGTCTTGTTGTCTGATTTGTAGACCTAGGAAGTAATTTAGTTCTCCAACCATGCTCATCTCAAATTTGCCTTCCATGTTGGTGATGAATTGATTTTTGTAGCATTCGAGTGTTGATCCAAGGACTATATCATCGACATAGATTTGGGCAATGATAATGTTTTTACCATAGTGTTTAACGAACAGGGTTTTGTCAACACTTCCTCTTTTGTAGCCCTTTTTGATCAGAAATTCAGTGAGTCGTTCATACAAAGCTCGTGGTGCTTGTTTTAGTCCATATAGAGCTTTGTTGAGTTTAAACATGTTTTGTGGAAAATGAGGATCCTCAAACCCCTTTGGTTGAGCAACATAGACTTCTTCTTTTAAATTGCCATTCAAAAATGTTGTTTTTACGTCCATCTGATAGAGTTTTATCTTGAGTATGCAAGCTACTGCTATGAGGAGACGGATTGATTCAATTCTGGCTACTGGGGCAAATGTTTCCTCAAAATTTGTCCCTTCAACTTGTGTGTATCCTTGTGCTACTAGTCGAGCTTTGTTTCTTGTTATGTTTCCTTGATCATCTGTTTTGTTTTTATAGATCCATTTCGTTCTGATGATATTGACTTTTTTATGGTCTAGGGACTAATTCCCAGACGTTGTTTCTTTCAAACTGTTGCAATTCTTTTTGCATGGCTTCCAACCAAAATTCATCTTTCAAGGCTTCGGTAATGTTTTTGGGCTCTATTTTAGAGGTGTAGCAATAGTCGCCTTCCTCCATTTTCTGATAATCTCGTTTCTTTCCTCTAGTTTTGATCCCTTCATTGAGTCCTCCTATTATATTTTCTAATGGATGATTTTTCCGTGTCCCTGTGTCATCAGTAGTGTGGCTTTCCTCAATTTCCTCAATGGGTTGTGTTTCTTCTTTCTCTGGTGTTTCTGTTTCAGATTTCTTTTCCAGAGGTGTTGAAACTATTGTTTCAACAACACTTGGTTCTTCTTCATCGGTGGTGAAATCTTCTGATGATGTGTCATTGATGACAACATTTATGGATTCCATGATACTGTTTGTTCTGAGGTTGAATACTCGATAGGCCCTACTGTTTGAAGAGTATCCTAGGAATATCCCTTCATCTCCTTTGATGTCAAATTTTCCTAATGGTTCTCTATCTTTTAATATATAGCATTTGCTGCCAAAGACATGAGTATGTTTCAGATTTGGTGTCTTTCCCTTCCAGATTTGATAGGGTGTCATGTTGGTTTCCTTTCGTATGAATACTCGATTGATCAAGTAACATGCGGTGTTTACTGCTTCAGCCCAGAACCTTGGTGATAATCTTTTGTGATTTAAGAGAACCCTTGCCATCTCTTGGATAGTTCGATTCTTCCTTTCGACTACTCCATTCTGTTGGGGTGTCTTTGGAGCAGAGAATTCATGATGAATTCCATTTTCTGTGCAGTAATCTTTGAATTTTGAGTTTTCGAATTCTCTACCATGATCACTCCTTATCCGGATGATTTTTCCCATTTTTGTATCCTTTTCATTTTGGATTTTGATGATGAGAGTTTTGAATGTCATGAATGCTTCAGATTTTCTCTAAGGAAGTTTACCCATGTGAATCGTGAGTAATCATCAACAGTCACATAGAAGTATCTTTTTCCTCCTATGCTTTCTGTTTGAGTGGGTCCAAACAGATCCATGTGAAGTAATTCTAGAATTCTGGAGGGGTGTATTCCCAAAGTCCTTTTGTGAGCTGTGCGTGTGATTTTGTTTTCAAGGCATGCATCACACTTTTTATTTTCATCTATGTCAAGGGCTAGAACTCCTCTGTAGGCTCCTCTTTTTAATCCCTTTTTCATGTCATGAAAGTTTATGTGTCCCATCTGTTGATGCCATAATTGTGTTTGATTGACAGTTGTTTGTAGGCAGGTTAGATCGCCGTCCCATGTGTAGCATTTATTTGTACACTTTTTCCCTATCATAACGCATTCGTGATTTTGGTTGAGAACATTGCAGCTATCTTTTGAAAATTCCACTTTAAGTTCATCTTCACATAGCTGGCTTATACTATTCAAGTTTGCTTTTAGTCCTAGTACCAGGAAGACTTTTGGCAATCTAGGTAGCCAATGTACATTCAAGATCCCACTTGCAATAATCTTACCTTTTCCTCCATCTCCAAAGGTGACGTACCCTTCACTCTTATACTGAATGTTTTCTAGATTTTCTGGGTTTCCAGTCATATGCCTTGAGCATCCGCTATCAAAATACCATATATCTTGTCCTTTGCTTGTTTTAGAGGTATATGCAACATTTTGATCTTTTCTTACCCAGATTTTCTTGCTATTATTTCTGTTTTGTGATGGCCAATCTCTGTTGTTTTGCCTGTAATAGAGATCATTTTGTCTCTTGTAGCAGTATGCTTTTATGTGTCCCAATCTGTGACAATAATAGCATCTGATCCTTCTTCGATGTTGAAAGTGATGTTGCGACACTTCAGGATTTTCAGTTTGGTGACTTTCACTGGAGGCTGAGATTGGAGACCTAGGCCTTTCAGTTAGCACCTTGATTTCTTGTAGCAGTTTGGCCTCTCTGTTTTTGGAATCTAATAATTCATTTTGAGCTTCTTTGAACCGTTTTTCTCCTCTGTCTTTTTCATCTTTTAGAAACTGATTTTCTTGCATGAGTTCTAGATTTACTTTGATGATTTGTTCCCATTTGGCATGTAGTTGAGTATATGCCTCTAGTAATTCTTGTGTATCTTCTCCGTTGTCACTTTCATGATTTGCGGTAAATGTTACGAAATTGGTGTTGGTGTCTTCTTCACTGTCTGAGTCATCACTTAATGTTGTCATGTATGTCTTGTTCTTTCTTTTAAGGTATGTTGCACATTCTGATTGGATGTGTCCAAACCCTCTGCACTCATAGCACTGTATTCCCTCTGTAGATGAACTGTCTCTTCTTTTCGTACCTGGTGATTTTTGATTGACTGTGGAATTTCCTTGGCCATTCGAGGGGTTTTTATTTCTGAATTTGTTGAACTTTTTGAGAACTCGATTGAAATTCGTTGTCAGAAGCGCGATTGACTGTTCCATGGTTTCAGTATCAGTTTCTGAGCTCTCTTCTTGTTTAGATTGTAGTGCTATTCCTTTGCCATTATTTTTCTGGTTTTGTAACATCTCAAGCTCATAGGTTTGAAGGTTTCCCATTAGATCACTAAGTTTGTAGGTATTCAGATATTTGTTCTCTTGAATTGCTATAACTTTTATCAGGAATCTTCCAGGTATGGAACGTAGTACCTTTTTGACGATCTTATGTTCAGGTATAGGTTCGCCTAGATTGGATGCATCTCCAGAGATGCTTAAAACTCTGGCACTAAATTGTGTGATATTTTCTTCTTCTTCCATCTTCAAGTTTCCAAACTCTATCTGTATCATCTGTAATTTGGATTGTCTTACAGACGTGTTCCCTTCATGATGATCACATAATATACTCCACGCAGTTTTGGCTATGCGAGTGTTGGCAATCAGTTTGAAGGTATCTTCTCTCATAGCTCCATAGATTGCATTCATTGACTTCGAGTTGAAGTCATATTCTGTTCTTTCTTCTTCACTCAAGTCAATTTTAGGTTTTCTATTTCCTTTATCATCAACTGGAGTTTTCCATTCGTTTTCTATAGCATTCCAGACACCTTCTCCTTGTGCCAGGATGTATATCTGCATTCTGGCTTTACAGTAGGAAAAATGTGTGCCAATCAGGGCTGGTGGCCTGTTGTTTGATAGTCCTTCTCTTGGAAATTCCATTAAGATCCTGCTAGTAACTTAAGCAGTTTGGCTCTAATACCAATTGAAATATATATATAAGCGCAACACACAGTGATATTAAAACTGACGTTGTAACACAAACGATTTATAACGCAGTTCGAGCAAACAACCCTAATTTGCGAGGCACTTCTCAAATTGAGAATTTGCCTAAATCCACTAAAAGCTTAATATTTAAAGTACACTGTTTGGAATCGGAGATTACACAATAGAATGATCTTTCCTATCGGACTATTGCGACCTAAACACATGTATTACTTTTCAAGGGGATTTGGGTATCTCTTCTCAATGACTCTCGTACCTCACAATTAGATCTTGAAAGCTTGTCTGATGTGTTGTGGAACCGCTCCTTTTATAGGGCTAAGAGTCATAAGATGGATAAGAGTAGAATTGCTATTCCTATTTAAACTAGGAATATAGATCCTAATTCATGCTTGATTTAGTAATCCCTTTTTGCTTCGGATTTTGACAAATCATTTTAAGTCAACAAACCCAAACTTGTACCATAATCACTAAGCTAGCACAAACATTAAATTTTATAGTTAACCCAAACTTGTACCATAATCACTAAGCTAGCACAGTGTTTATTCAGGCTTTCGTATGTTAGAAATAATTATTTTCTAACATTGATTTATATAATAAAGGTTGTAATTCTATAAGGTACTCACGGTGATGATTAGTGATGTGTAAATGCGAAATTACTGGATGAAATTCCTTCCCTCTTATTCTCTTAAAATTTAAGTTTATAAGGGTTGAAAGATGTATAATGGAAAGGAAAATCGGGTATGTAGATTGAAGAAGTCGGTCTATAGATTAAAACATGCTTCTAGACAATGGTACTTGAAATTGTCATTTGGTTTTGTAGAGATCACTGTTGATCGGTGTATCCACATAAAGGTTTAATGGAAGCAAGTTTGTAATCCTAGTATTACATGTTGATGACATTCTTCTAGCTGCTAATGATAAAAGGGATGTTGCGTGATGTTAAGGAATATCTTTCTAAGAACTTTGAAATGAATGATATGGGTGAGACTTCATATGTGATTGGAATAAGAAATATTCTGTGATAGATCACATGGGATCTTAGGTTTATCCTAGAAGACTCACATTAACAAAGTTTTAGAAAGATATAAACTGGAAAACTGCAAAAGAGGATCCTGTGATACTTACAAGGCACTAAGGACCACATGTTCACCTATGGTATCCCTGTGGTATCCCTAAATTACATCTCTCTTAAAGTAGTATACTCTGTAGGGTTTCTCTAATTCTCTCTCGTCTCTAGTATCTTACATGGCCGCCGCCTCCGTGAAGCTAGCAGATCGGAGACGACGTCCGATCGTCTTACCCTGTTGTTATCTCCACCGTAGACAACGTCCGCTTTCACTGTTTTCTCCTCCATCACTACCGCTACCGATCGTTATTCCCTTATACTGTTGTTTCCCTTTGCTTTGTTTTACTGGTTTAATTTTATTTGCAGTTTATGTGTTTTTCCTCTCGTTGTTTTGACGAGTTTCTTCCTCTCGTTTACTTGGCGAACTCTTTTTCATAAAACGTGAAACGATAACACTAGCCATGGCGTATATGAATCTCATCCTAGGTGACAAAACATGACAATGAAAAAGAGACTCCTCTGAACTATGATATACAGTTCCGCTCAGTGGAGATATTGTCAATGGATAGAAGAATGGAAATAGATACTCAGGTGGTGTGAAAGACTTTTCAACCCGTGTCAGTCTTGGGTACGTTTGACCAAATCATTAAAGAAGCTTTAAGTTCCTCATTCAATTTCAAATTTGTGAAACAGTCTGCGAAGCAAGTTTTCTGTAGCATTGCTAAGGAAGTTGTTTCTTTGTCTGACTGTAAGGAATGTTTGACAATTCCATCGATTTTTATTGTAAACGTTTCAGCCTATGATTAATGAATTAGCTTCTTTATTTTCACACAAAAAAAAGACACCTGCATGAATCTAGATGTGCTTGAAATATCTTGAGGCTAGCACGTTGATGCTTTAATGATTCGAATGTCGGTAGACATGTGGGAGTATGCTGGATACTCGGAAAAGATTCACCTATGTAAGGGAGAAGTGAGGGTCGCTTCAAAGGAGAAATGATGGGCACAATTCTGTAGAAACTCTCGCAGAATCATGAACAGTGACCCACAACCAAAACGGGCACAGTCATGAGAACAGAGCATGGTTGGGAGGTTCTTGTGTGAGATATGTCATCGTCTACACAAACGACAGTCGGTTTAAAAACATCGCGTTCTACCGTATAGCCAGTAAAGTAAACATATCTTCACGAGGGAAGGTTCAAAGGGTAACACCTACCTATCCTATGCAGAGATCGACCATTGAACACAGTTGTTTCTGATTTCAAAATACCCTAAAAATCAATTTTTCATTCATGTGGGGGATTGTTGGAAAAATTTGCATTAAAATGACATTTTAAGTGGCAATTTTGTTCTACAATTATCAGTGGGGTCCACTTCTGATTTGGGTTGGGTCAAAGTGGATTCGGGTTCTTCGAAGTGAGACGAAGAGTTTGATATATTGTACGCTCAAAACGGATAATGGGTGAATGAGAAATTGAGTATCAAAGTAGACATATTGAGTTGGAAAAATGAAGGGAACAAGAATTAGCTTTTGTCCCATATTGGTTTGGGAAGTGGATTTGCACCACTATTTATACAAGAGTCTTTCTAAAGCTTATTGAACTGTATAGCTTGGATGCTCTTTCTCGGGCGTAGAGGGGTGCAAATCAAGTTCCAAATTGAGCCTGAAAAGGCTTGACTCGTGTACGTCGGCACATGTGGGCACGAATGTCGTCTGTAAAATTGGTCGCAACACCCTTTGTGGGATTAAATACGTCAGTTATAGAATTAATTCCAATTTTGAATGCTTTTTATCTTCAATATCCTATATAAGTTTGTAGGGGCATCAGGTTTTATGTGAACAACGAACACAAGAACACACACAAACAAATTATGTTTTCTTCTCCAAAACTCTGCTCTTACTCCTTCTTGCAACTGTGTTCTGCCCGTGCTCTAGTTGTAGCCTAAGTTTCCCAGGATAAAACAATATATATATATATATATATATATATATATATATATATATATATATATATATATATATATATATATCTATATATATCTATCTATATATATATATATATATATATATAGGGAAGGGATTACGTGCGGGGAGGGCTTCCCGTGCGGGTGGATGCACAATAAGCACTAAATTGACGCACTTTAAGTACACAACACACGCATATTAAGCAAACAAACAAAACAGCTTAAGAACACAAACCCACGCACCTTAAGCACAAAACTCACGCACCTTAAGCACAAAAACACGCGCACCTTAAGTTTTAACAACAACTCACTCACGCACAGTAAGCACAAGACTCACGCACCTTAAGCACAAAATTCACACACTACATTAAGCACAAAACTCATGCATCTTAAAGTTTCAACAAATCACATTAAGTACACACTTACGCACATTAAGCACAAAACTCACGCACATTAATCACCCGCACAACCTCACGGGAGACACTTACTCACACTGGATATATATATATATATATATATATATATATATATATATATATATATATATATATATATATATATATATATATATATATGTATGTATGTATATATTGTTGGTTTTCACAGCCTTGATGGCCGCTCGGCAGACCAACACCACCGAAAAGATGTGCTTGATTTCGCAAGTGTGCGAGATAATGAAAACGAGAGGTAAAGTATTAAAAAGAGAGAGAATAATGTGATATTATTTCTCTAAGGTTTTACCCTCAAAATGCCAATCCTCTACATGGTGATCCCGTGAGGATATTTATACATGAGTATGAGGTTCTTACAAGGTAAGTAGGGTTGACGTAAAGTCAAGTCTAGAGGTGGGATAGGGCTGATGTAGGGCTGATGCAGTTGCCTGCTTACTACCATAACCGTCTAAACTAATTAAGGAAGCTACTTAAATGAATGAAGATGGCCTCCGCAGAATCCGCTGATATCCGTCTCTGAAAACGCACCTGGTCGGGAACGCCTTGACCACTGTAGGGATGCCATTAGCGGCTCCCTCACCCGGGCAAGGACACTCCGCCTGCGAAGCCTGGTCGCCCGGTTGGGTTCCGGAGTAGCGCACGGTCGGGGACACACCGCCCGCGTAGCCTGGTCGCCCATCCGAATCCCACAAGGTATTCAGTCGGAGACACTTCGACCACCGAGGCTAGTCGCCCAACCCGGTCTCGCCTAGGAGTCCACCCGAGGACGCACCGGCTGCCAGGACTGGTCGCTCTACCTGTGCGGACTAAACCCACCTGCGTGAACGTCCGAGGCTATGGCTGACTGGTCGCTTGAGGATGAATAGTTTTTGTCATAGGACGCCTTACACGATGAGTGGGGGGCCTTGGAGATCCTCCACCTACTAAGTACCAGGCCGCGCCTTGACCCGACTACCTTGCCATGCCTTCTCGTCCGGCTGGCTATTTTGGGGTATCTAATATATATATATATATATATATATATATATATATATATATATATATATATATATATATATATATTCGTGGGGATATATACAAATATTATTTTGTGATTAAATCGACTTGGTTCAATTTTTCTTAAAATTATTCCATTGCAACTTAATTATTTATTTAGATAAATATTCTTCTTGGTTATCATGCAAAAGCTCATAGTTTACAATACAGATTCCTCGCATGCTGCTTGACAAAGAATATTTTTATACTTCTTGAAATAGACATTTGCAGCTCGATATTCTTCTTTGATTTATAGGTTATGCTTAGCTTCTTATTAGTTTTTTTTTTTTCTTTTTTTGTGCCTGGGAATCCTCCACTTCGCTAATGCTTTACTGCTAG